TACTATAGACTGTGAGACAATAACTTCTGTTTGTTAAACCCATCCACTTGTGGTATTTCTGTTAGATGACTAAGACATTTCCTTAATTTTGAAACTTGCAATCTAAAGAAATAGTTTATTGCTTTTTTTTTTTTCCCCATTTTTGAGTGACCAGTAACAGGCAGCTATTTTTTTTAACTCCATTTTAACCTAGGCTATGAATCTGAGATTGAAACACTACTACATCCTGATACTACTGGGCACTGATGACATCCTAATACTATAGGGCAGTGATGAAAAGATTAGGATCTTGAGACAGACCTACTGGGTGTGATTTTCTGCTGAGCCACTCCTTCATTAAATTACATAAACTCTCAATTTTCTTACTTGTAAAATGGAGATAATAGTTACTTGTACTCCGTAGAATTAAATGAGTTAATGTATGGAAAGTGTTCTCAGCAGTGTCTGAAATTGTAATTATTCCTGTTCCTAATTTACTAACTGATACTGTCACTTTGGAGATAGCTCATATTTCTGATTATTATTAATCTGTATACACTGATAATACGTAGTTTTAAAATTATATTCATTTCATTATAAGATGGAATTCTTACAGAAATATGAATTTTCAGATGCTGAGATATGTTTCCTCAGCTATCTTACTACATTTCTTTGTTCTTGAGTCTCCTTTTGTAGTAATTATACCAACTGGAATTTGTATAGCACTTTGTAGCGCTTTGAACTCATTTATCTCATTTAATCTTTAAGATGCCCTTTAAGGTGGGCATTATTTCATTATGCCCTGAAATAAGATGAAATGACTTGTCCAGTGTCTCATAGCTGGTGGAGGTGAGATTCCAATCCAAGTGTCCTAATTCAGAAAGTCTGTACTTCTTTTCTGAGTAACTTTGCATGTTTTTATGGACCCAGTGTCTTCTTCCCTTGTCTATCATAAAAGAGCACCAAAACCAAAGATCTCTCCTACTCTGGGGCATTTAGCCTAGGGATGTAATTAGCTATCCTTATTCATTCACTCGTTCATTCTTTCTTTTAATAATACGTTATTGAGTTTCTGCCTATGATGGATAAGGTTGTGTGTCACCTTTGATGGGCTGTGATTTTTAGTGGTTTGGCAGTTATGTAATGATGTAATCTGGCAGTTATGTAATGATGTAATCATATTCCATTTTGTGCTCTGAGATAGTCATCTCCTATTTTGTGATCTAATGTGAACAGCCCAGTCAGTTGAAAAGGGAGTTTCCTTGGAGATGTGGCCTGCATCCAGTATGTATGGATGTTCTGGCAAATCTCATGTGCTCTGGATCCTGTATCCAACTCGTTGTCCTCTGACCACCGGTTTTTGGGACATAAGCCAGCAGCCTGCTACTTGACCCGCAGATCTTGGGATTCACCATCTCCCGCAACCCCATGAGCGAGCAGCCTTCCGTCTGACCTGCTGATTTTGGATTTGTCAGCCCCTGCAACCACGTGAGTCAAGAGAAGACTCCAGCCTGACACTTGACCCACAGATTTGGGACTTCCCAGCCTCCACAGCTGTGTGAGCCATTTCCTTGAGATAAAGCTCTCTCTCTGTATATATATTTGTATATATACACTTCACTGAGTTTGCCCCTGACTCAGCCAGGACAGTGCCTTTTAGGAGGTACTGTGCTCTGAAAATACTTACTGTGAACCCAATCTACTCTCAGTGTATGTATGTATATAGGTATGTATGGTTCTAAATAAAATTGTTTGCCATGGTAAAAAGAAAGATTGATGGTAACTGATATCAAAGCGGCATGAAGTAAAGCAAGGTAATGTATTTTAGGAGTTACTGAGAGGAAAACACACACGGAAAAATATAAAATGTACTCCAAAATGAGACTCATGAAGTTCTATATATTCTCTATGGCTGTCAAAGTATATTGTGCATGAGAAAGCATGAAGTGATAGACCTTAAGTCATAGCATACCCTCAAATAATGAATCATTCTGAAAATGAATACATTATACTGCACATAAAGTTTATCTTAACTTTGACATGTAAAAGAAAGTATTTATTTAGGATATAGTTTTCATCTGAACAATAAACAGAATATGGAAAGTGATTGATAGATGATGATGATGATATTGATAATACTCGGATTTTTGTATAGGATGTTTGTAGGAGATGGAGAAGTTGTTTTTAAGACTGTTTTGGTTATTTTTCTATTTTTTCCCTGGGTTGTTAGTTTGTTATCATGTTGCCTAAAGTTAAATTCATATTTAAAAATCATAAAATCATTTTAGGGCAGAAATAAGATAAATTATTACGACTTTAGAGGTGAGACAGGAATGGCCAGAGAGTTAACATCTTTAAAGAAGCCATTCAGTCTGTGCCATTCACTTGTCATGCCTGGAGCTCAATGATGTACCTGCTGTTGGAGCACCACTGTGACCAGCAGGTGGATTAGCTCTCTTGCTCTCCTGTCACTGGACAACTACTGAGCATGCACTTTGTGGTCGATCCTGTGGTAGGTAGTTTATTCTTTCTCAGGCTTCACTCAGATTGACAAATACAATATTGCTTTTACCACACATGTTCAAAAAAAAGCAAATAAACTTTGGATTGCTTAGTGAAAAAAAAATTACACATACTCTATTCATTTGCTGTTGTATTTGGAGAAAGAGACTTGGAATGGTAAGATGGTTGAACTAAGGTGGTGTGAAAAAAATACAAATGTGCTAACACAGAAGGCTTGATATATACCTCCATGTACACTCAGATTTGGTGGGTGTCAGGGCATCTTAAATATCATTTGCTGCATTATTTTACACTTCACAAAACTCAGTTCTTTTGTTTGGATAACCTCATCACATTGACATTTTCTAGCACAGGAGTAAATCTTCAAGGGAAAGCTTAAACTTTCCTCCTATCGTTTGGTAACAGACACATTATATTTAAGAGTATATTCAATATATGCTGTCATCTAGGTAAAATCTCATTATCATAATAGTCATAAGGGATCTATATTGTGTACCTCTGGTGGAATTTTACTACTATATATATAAAAAATAATTTCATAAATATATTCCGGTTATATAAGAATAAACTGAAAAAGCTGATGTTTCCTCTATCTTTAATGCATGAAGAGTGTAAAGCAATATTTTCAGCCCTAAGGAGACCATTCATTCATACATTTAAAGTATTATAGCATTTCAAGCATATGTGAAGGTAGAGGGAAAAGTATGATGCACTTGTGTCTATATGTCACCCAACTTCAGCAGTTATCAACTCATACATCACCTACTCCATCCATCCTTGAATTATTTTGATGCACATCCAAAACATTATATCAGTTCGCCTTTAAATGTTTTAGTATATGTACCTAAAATAAATTGCTGAAAGACCTGACTACAATGTAATTATCGTACCTAAAAATTAATCCACTAAACCTAAATTAATTAAAGTCATATTATTTTTGAGTGCAGTGTCTGGAATGTATAAGTCACTCTATTAGGCTACAAAAGGTTTCTCTTACAACGTCTTAGATCAGTTTGCATGCTGTTATGGTTAAGGGTGTCTTTGGAGTTAGTGGCCTATTTCCTGGAAAGGGGTAACTGAAAAGATTGTGTTTAGAAAGGGTGGAGGTGAAAGGCAAAAATAGCATCTTGATAGTCCAAAAAAAAAAAAAAACTGGGAACAGTTAATCTAAAATCCAATTTTGTTTTTTCTGTATTCCTCTTACCTACAAGTTTAAGGTTGTACAAATGTGTTCAGTAGACATCAGGATTGTGCCTCAGTAATTAAAATAGTGTTTTGTCACCATATACTTAATGCAGGATCAAAGAGCATGTGCTAATGAGGAATAAAGCCCAATAAATAACTCCTTTGCTAGTCACCAACATACACTCTGAGAATGTTAAGAGGAAGTACTCAGGACTCCGTCCATTCTCATCAACTCAGTCGATTTCACTTCCTCAAATAAATACTTTCAAATCGAAGGTTACAGAAGTTATCAGAGGGTAGTAACATGCACACATGCATCTAACAATTGTGTAATACGCTCTTGAAAAACTAATTCAGACTCATATCCCAACCAGTAATACTATAAGTTCATGATACTAATAACGCACTGCTAAGGCCAGAGTGTAATGCAAAAACAAATCTGGTGGTGAATAGCATATACCATGTTTCTCAAAGGCAACGTATCTGCAGGATGAGAAAAACAGCCTTTTTTTCTTTTCCCTGCCAGTTACGAATTCTTAATGTAGTTTGTTTTGAGAAATGAATTTGAGAGACTTTGAACAAAAGCTTCAATTATTGCCAATAAATGAATTTCTGGCCAAAAGTATTTGTACATGAGGAGCAAAACTTAATATCTCACATGGTATTATAATCCAGATACCTGTGTCAGGATGGCAGGCTCTCATGACATATAATGGTCTACAAATGTAAATTTACCTTTTATTTTTTTCCTGCTGCTTACTTACAGAGCAATATTTAAATATACCTAGGCAATGAAAGTGGAAATATTTTGCCATAGTTTTATGTACGAGAAGTTTTCCAGAATGGGTTTTGAAATGCATTGTTCTCATTGATATTAATGCTGTATTTATTATGAATTTTTACCAAAATGCCCTTTTTATAGAATGTCTAATTAGCACTTTCATTTTTTAATTACACGGGGCATAGTTTAATTTCTGGTGTTAAATGTCAGACTCTGAAGCTATAATGCATGAAAAACTGTAAGTGAACATTCAAGGGAACAGGAACTTAACGCTCTTTTTCTTTGGCAAATTGCACTTTGTTTTAGACATTTTTCTCTTCCTTGGGAAATTTGAAAAGGAACAGTTCATCATACGCTTTGTTGGCTCCCTCTTCTCCTCCCCACTACCTATTCAGGACTGCTCTCAGCCCTTCCTCACCCCCCTAAAAAAATAAATACTTACTTTTGCAACTCTTTTAATATTGTAAAACATTGGCTCAGTGCTGTTTGTTTTGAGCAAAGGCCATTCATCACATTTTCTGTGTTTCTTTAGGAGTCAGATGGCCAGGGCTGCCCCTTCTGCCGCTGTGAAATAAAGGGAACAGAGCCCATAATCGTTGATCCGTTTGACCCCAGGGATGAAGGCTCCAGGTGCTGCAGCATCATTGACCCCTTTGGCATGCCGATGCTGGACTTGGATGAAGATGATGACCGAGAGGAGTCCTTGATGATGAATCGGTTGGCAAATGTTCGAAAGGTAAAACTAGAGACCATAGGTGTAGTTAGGGTGTTGTGTGGGCATGTAAAAGAAGTGATGCCATCACAAACATAAAATGTAAGTAATGTTGACAGGCTAATAAAAATCACAGACTGAGAAAGGACTGGATTCAGCTATACTCAAAGTACTCTCTCTAGTTTTAAACTTGATAATGAGAGACAATGAGAGTTTTTAAATAAAATTAAACATCTAAGATTGGCAGTAGCAGATCAATGAAGAAAAATTTAAGAAAGAAAATGATTAAAATTGGAAATGATGTGATTGGACTTAAACAAAATAGTATTTGTTGAAGTCTAAAAGAAGTCTTTGTTTGAGTTGTTTTCTCACCAGAAACCCAGCTTGATGTTTGGCTACTATGAGGTCAAACAAGATTGACCTTTTTGAATTTACCATAGTCTGGGGCTTCATCAATATTGTGAATTTAGAAAATTAACTGTCAGTTCACTGAGAATGGATGCTATGCCCAGATGAAGTTTATTTAAACAAGCTCACAAAAGACAAGCGAATGAAGGAAACACATAAGAATGCCAATTGATTCAGTTACAAACAAGAAATACAGTAGACAAGAGAACTGGGCTCCCGACTCTCAGGCTGTTCTCTCAACACAGAAAGATACATGACATTCAGATTACAATTAGCAGTTTTGTACTCAGGTTCAAAGCAATGGGGGTGAGTGGTAGGAAAGGGTCTGCAAATGCTCTGTCAAGGTGCCACCCTCCTCTTGGCTCATGGCAGACATGGCTAATTAGTCATAGCACACATGCCTGCTGAGTTCGGACTTGGCCTACAAGTCCTTTCAACGTAGCCCTATATACCCTCTGCTTCGATTCATTAGGATTTGGCAGGTAACATAGACCTATTTGCCATTTAGGTAGAGTGATGATAACTTGGCATGGTTTAGATTGTATTTGCCATATGTATTTATCTCTATAGTGGGGAAGCACTTTGTGCAGAGAACAGGAGATACTTTTCTTTGGGTCACCTCCTTCTTCAAGGATATGTCACATTTAGCCTTTGGCCTCCTGTATTTTCTATGTTCCATGATGACCAGAGACATTCGTTAGTATTTTCAACATACTGATTTTTGCATATGGCTGTTTTCAAACTTTTATCTGGGATGGCTTTTGTTCTGCACCTCACTGGTTTTTCATAGATTTCATAATTTAACTCTCAGAGAAACTACTTGATTTCACCTTTTTAATCCCATCTGCTACATTTAGTTTTTAAAGTGTGTGATCCCTTTGACCTATGATATGAAGGAAGAAACCAAACCCCAAATTCGTTGCCTTCGAGTCAATTCCGACTCATAGGGATCCTATCGGACAGAGTAGAACTGACCCATAGGGTTTCTAAGGAGCGATTGATGGATTAGAACTGCCGAGCTTTTGATAAACAGCCAAGCTCTTTACCACTGCACCGTCAGGGCTCCATGAAGGAGGAAAGAAGATAGTTATTCCTCAGCAACCCTAAAGAATGAACAAGAAAAAAAAAAAACCTCAAATTAAAGCAAGGAGAATTGAGACTTGATTTTAAGATGAACACTTAATCAGTTTAACCAATATTAATACCTTCTTGTATGTGAACAAAGATTTTTCACATATATTGTTTCATTCTCTCAATTAATTGCCTGTGAAATTTTAACCAGAAATTAAAGATCATGTGACTTATAATTTGTTGGTATTAAACTATAAAAATATATTTATCCTTCATCTAATGGGTCACCAAAAACCTTAGAAAATTAAATTGCATTGGGATCTGCTAATTGATATGTAAGTGACTATTAGATTTGTATTGTCCAAAATGCTACCCACATGTGGTTATTTAAATTTAAAGTAATTAAAATTTTTAAAAAATTAAAAATTTATTTTCTGAGAAATTTAGTTTCTCCGTCACATTTGAGGTGCTCAGTAGCCACTTGTGTCTAACCCGTTGCCGTCAAGTCAGCTCTGACTCAGCGACCCTTAAGGACAGAGTAGAACTGCCCCACAGGGTTTCTAAGGAGCGGCTGGTGGTTTCGATTTGCTAACCTTTTGTTTAGCAGCTGTAGCTCTTAACCACTCTACCATATTGGAGTGTGCAGAAATAGAACATTTTTTATGGATATGGGAATATCTGTTATAGATAGATATAATAGAAATATCTATTATCCAAGAGATAATTCTACTGGGCATAGCTTTATTAGATCATTCCTTTTGCTTCTTATTGGAAGAAGCTTGGTCTTGGCGCAAAAGATCTTTTCTTATGCTTTAATCATGTAATGGTCTTAGCATGGCCTGGGTATTTGGCTGTAAGCTAGCACAGGGTCTAGAGCAGGAGTTAGCAAAGTATGTCCTGTGGGCCAGATATGGCTGCCACCCTTTTTAACAGTCTGCGAGCTAAGAATGATTTTTTATTTTTAAATGGTTATATATTTTAGTGATTACATAAATGCCTACCTATTTCCTTACTTTTGGCCTGCAAAGCTGAGCATGTTTAACGTCTGGCTCTTTAAGAAAATGTTTGCCACCCCTGGTCGTACACATACTGAGCATTTGTTGTTGCCATCAAGTCATTTCTGGCTCATGGCGACCCCGTGTGTTCAGGGTAGAACTGCTGCATGGGGTTTCCAAGGCTGTGACCTTTCGGAAGCAGATCGCCAGGCCTGTGTCTCAAGGTGCTTCTGGGTGGGTTCCAACTGCCCAGCCTTTTGGCTAGTTGTCAAGAGCTTAACCATTTGTGCCACCAAGGGACTCACCATAATAATTTAAAGAATGTTCATTGAATGCAAGGATAATAGGGAATGACAGAAAAATATATTAGGAACTCCCAATAGCTCAAGTAGTTCAAATGACATAGTTAGTAATGTTTTCTACTAGGGAAAAGGCATTTTAATTTTCTGTAGTAAATGGTTTTTTTTTCTCTCCATAATCCATGTCAGAAGGTGAGGGTGAGGACATAGAGTAATTCTTTGAAGAACTTTGTATGCCCTTCTGCTTGTATGTGTATGAGTTTGTGAAAAGCTGCAGTCTCCTCGTGTTTTCCCTTGAACTAAGTTGAAGCATGAGCCTTGTTTTTTTTTTTAAAGTCATGACACTGACAATTGATAGCAGTCATTGGTAATATAAAATGAGAAGCAGAAGCAGAATTTTCAGAGGTCACGCTAGTGCTTACCTCTGATCTTTTCACCACCTCACAAAGCCGTCCATGCTGTGTTCTCCTTGGCACCCCACTGAGCTGCCTGTCAAAGTCACTGATAGATTTTTACATTGATCCTCCTCTCTCATTTACCCGAGAGAAGAATGATGCTCTCAGGCAGTATTGTCCCAGAAGTCACACCTCAGTGGCTTGTTTGGCAGCCAACAGAGTCATTTCATAAAGCTTGACTGCTAGTGTTATTTATATACTTTGCTGTAGCATTTAGATATTTGAGAAGTATAAAGAACTTTTAATTAATCATTTTTATTTTAAGGAATCATATTTCAATTAAATGTCTCTATGTGCATTGATCTGTCACTAAGGAATTAAACTGAATTTTATATTTTATAAATCTCTGTTACTCAACTTTCAGTAAAACCCAGATTTTAGTGTAAATACAAGCGTCACTTCTTTCAAAATAATTGAGAAAAATATTGCTGTGGCATAGTGTTCCCAAAGCACTTTCAATGTACTTCTATTTCAGGAGTTACACTAAATTGTTATGTTTTATTTGGAGGACCATCTTTTCCACTAGGCTATTAATTTTTAAGCCAGAAACAATGCCTTATTTATCTGTGTGTCCCTTGGCACCTAAATGCGTTCAGTAAATATTTATTAAATGAGCTAATTAAATGCACATACGTGCACACATGTTCCTGAAGAGAAATGACTTGACTGTATTCATCTTTTTTATCCTCAATCCAACCTAAAGACTTAATATGTATGTATACTATGTATTGTCAAGTTAATAGGTTTTTTTCCAGTTCTGCCGTACTGCCATGGTTACAAACAAATGTCACACGGTCCTTTTGGCACAGTAGCTTTTCTACTTGAATGTTTTTCATCTCTCTCTCTTTTTAATCATTCTCTTGCCTTATTTGTTCATTCATTCTTAAAAGTTTCATTCTCCCAACTCCAAAAGTTGTTGTCGGTCATTGTCCAACAGAATAGACAATTTCAAATACTCTTCTCATCTTTCTCTTTTATGAGCAGGTTGATGACTGTAGGATGAAATCATTTTTGCCTGTTTTAAGCATATTGCATTCTCTAAATGAGTAATGCTTCTTTCATTACTAGGTAGAGTACTGAGCTGCTTGTATGTTCCTGTTACTGTGGTGATAGCCAGTATCTGGAGTTTATAAACAGTAACATACTGGACATACAGAATATATATTTAAATTACTTTATATGTTGTGTGTTTAAAATGCTAATTTGTACAGAAACAAATAGAACCTATAAATCTATCATATACTGTGTTTTTGCCTTCCTGGACAAAAGTTGTATTATAATTTTAAGTAGAAGATGTTTTAGGTTTTGCTTGAAACTGTACCATTGCCTGATTCCTAAGCTGTCAGAATGTCTAGGATAATTGGATCTGATGTGAGCCTTCAGAGGAAGACTGGGTTGTGATTGGTAAGCTCACATCCTTCTCTCTGACTTCAGTCAGATCAGATCTAAAAAAAAAGGTTATCTGTTGTCCTTCAGAGTTTTACTTCATTTTGCCAAAGGTGTAAGGGGACTCTTACCATCTTATTAGCAATTATGTTGTTGTTGGGTGCTGTTGAGGCAGTTTCAACTCATAACGACCCAATGTGACACAGTAGAATTGTCCCATAGGGTTTTCTAGGCTGTCTGTAATTTTTATGGGATCAGATGGCCAGGTTTTACTCGCACAGAGCCGCTGGGTGGATTTGAACCGACAGCCTTTAAGTTAGCAGCCAAGCACTTTATTGTTGCACCAACAGGGCTCCTTAATTCTGTTAATAGAACATATTAATTACCAAATATATAAAATTACATACAAG